TAATTATGTGCTGCAAAATGCACTATTTCTAAAACACATTCAAGATCATCTTAAATATATTCAGGGCCAGGAAATATATTGCAGTGGGAATGAATTTTTAGGTCAATATTGTAGATTTTCTAAAAGCAGAGTGAGCAGAACTTTTCCTTTGTTTCTTTCCTTAGTCATTGATGATGTCATTAAAGTAGGTTCTTCCATTTCACTAAATTACATTTTAAAATTAGTTTTGAGTCAGCATGATTTATGATTCCATCTATGCTTATTATGCATAAAAAACAAGCCAAAAAAGAGAGTTTATTCATCTGTAAGTAGATGTTCATGTACAAAGGCCTTCTACATAAGCATGCAGAGTGGCCAAAGGAAATTCAGACTTTGTTGGGGATTGATTTGGTAGCTTTGGAGAAAAATAGGTCAATGTAATTATTGAATCATAGAATCATAGGGCTGGAAGGGACCTCAGAGGTCTTCTAGTCTAACCTTCTGCTTAAGGCAGGAGACTTATACCATCCTGGTCAAATGGCTCTCGAGTCTATTTTATTTTAGTCTTTTATTATGTATTGTTTAGCAAGCAAACTACATAGACCGTATAGAGAACAAAGAACAAAGGAATTAGAAATAAAATGTCCCCTGAAGGTCTTCCTCAATGTCTATATTTCATCTTTTCTAACATATATGCCGAATATATATACCCAACATATCTCAAGAATGACTCAAGAATCTCAGGATATGGGTTTCACCATTTTTTTTTAAGTAGGGATGATGTCAATTAAAAAACTTTTTAACACAGATTCTGGAAGAATTTTTTTTTCTGCTGAATCTTCTTTCCTCTCATCTAAACCCTATTACATGGGAAATGGTAGGCAGAAATAAGTTTAAGAAAGGCATCAGAAGGGGGGTGGTTACTGTCACCCTATCATCTTTCATGGTTTATTACTTTCTCTATCCAACTTACAGTCAATTTCTGTACACAATTGCCACCATACATACTGCGAACCATGGATGTTACATGCTAGGTTCAGTATATTATATGTTGTAAGCAACTGCCCTGTTTTATTATAGTGCATAGAAGTAACCACAGAAATATTCATCCAGACAATGAGATGAAAGTAACAGATTGCACGTCTGAATTGCAAATGAGAATTCTCTGAAAGTATCATTTGCTTGCCCCCAAGGGCATTCTTGGCTACACAGTTATTCTCTGCCATGCTACATGGAGAAGTGATCGGAACTTTATCCATGGGACTTAATTAAAGATGGAGGCAAGCCTCCTCAGACATCATTAAAATCTGGAGTTTTCAAGGACAGGGTTATGTGCTAAAGAATATCAAAGGGTGCTACAGGTTTTCTGGATGGAGAGAAGGAGCCCATCAGAGAGAAATTTGGGGTGCTAGGTTAAGCCTACTTTTGAACTACTATGCAAATGAAAATATATAGGGCTTGGTGATCATGGGATATAGACACGTGCGCATGCACTCACATACACAAATACAGTGCTAATTGTGTACAGAACTGCAACAACATGCATTCAGTACAAAGAAGAAAGAAGTTCAGAAAGGTTGAATATTGTGCATCAGGACTTAGAGTTCATTACGATCATAACTCAAGAATGACCTGTAATGTGTGAATATTCTTCAAGACATTGTTCTAATAATGTATTTGTATTAGACATTCCCTTGCGTGTTCTGGGTGTTTTGATTGAGTGTTTTTTTTTAACGCTGTGTAAGCCACCCAGAGTCATGCGGTTTGAATTGAGTGACCTTAAAAATTTTGTTAGTCATCATCATCTTCTTCTTGTGTATTCTTATCCTAACTGAACCATTTAGTTGCTCCATATTCCATTCTAATTATTGCTTCCTCGTCATCATATAAAAGACTCAATAGGCAGATGAGGTTGCCTGGTAACCCCATTTTTAAGGGCTTTCCACAATTTTCAACTATTACTTTTTAGATCCTTGACAGTTCATACCTACAGTCACCATACTTATCTATATCTCCAAAGCAAATATATTGAACAACTGGAACAGGAGAAGACCACTTCTAGTTAAACTAATGTATGTGAATATAGAAACATCTAAGTGTAATCTAATCATACCTGACATATGGTACAAGGGAATATATAATCTTTTACTGTATATGGATCATATATTGTAATAATGTTATGCAGGGCTTTTTTTGTCATAGAATGTTCAGAATGGAGTTCCGGCACCTTTTTTGGATGGAACCTTGTAGGGTAGGCAAGGCGGGTTGTATGATGTGTATGAGTTCCGGCACCTTTTTTTTCTTCAAAAAAAGCACTGATGTTATGCAACTCTTAATTTTATTTATTCCAAAAAATATCTGTTTACATATGAGTATTACAATTTCTAGCCTTTATCCATGTGGATAGTGGAATCCAGGGTGTTGAAACACATTATTTGGAGGCATAACCCCCCCCAAACAATTTGGTTAGATTCAGAAATTCCAGAGGAGGTCTGCAAGATACCACATCTTTCCATCTTGCTGTTCTAAAGTCTTGATCCATGTTGGTGCATGGAACCCAAAGACTTCTTTAATTTTTGAAGAGGAATCTCAACCATCACTGTTAATGCCAATCCTACCATGAATGTGATCAGGCAGTGTCCAAGGAACAAGTAGAACTAAAAGGACAAGCACAAACAAAATAAAAGTCAGGTAGACAAGTTCTAAACATTCAGCCATTGGAAGGAAAGCTTTAATTAAATAGTTGCCTTGAAGTAAGATGGGCGGACTATAAATTTTATAAATAAGTAAATAGTTATGGTCAGCACAGGGAAACTGAACTGAATCTATGAAAGCTATCCCTTGGAAAGTCAACATGTACAGAGTTCCTGCAGAGGAATCATACACACGTATAGGCTTCAATCATTCCGTCCAGTATTTCTCAACCTTGGCAACTTTAAGATGGATGGACGTCAAATGCTGGCTAGGGAATTCTGGAAGTTGAAGTTTATCCACCTTTAAGTTACCAAACACTGAAGTAATCATACCTGTCATTTTGACATAGACAACAACCCCTGGAGATGTTTCTGGCCCTGATGACCTCCTCCCTGATATTCTTGTATAGGTAATCCTTGACTTAGTTACAATGGCATTGAAAAAAGGGACATGACCATTTTTCACAGTTATGACGTTTGCAGCATCCTCATGATTCTGTGCTCAAAATTGAGATGCTTGGCAACTGGTTCATATTTATGACCATCGCTGTGTCCCATGTGATCATCCTTTAGTGACCTTCTGAAAGCAAAGTCAATGAGGAAGCTAGATTCACTTAACCATTGGGTCACTAGCTTATCAACTGCAGTGATTCACTTAATAACTATGGCAATTTAAAGGTTGTAAAATGGGGCAAAACTCCCTTAACAAATGTCTCACTTAACAACAGAAATTTTGGGCTCAGTTGTATTCCTCTTTCAGGAAGCTTTTAATATGCAAATCCTTCCCCTTCTCCCTAATATTTTGTGAAATATTAGGTGCTAGGAAACGTTATGTACTATAGTATTCCTATTTGTTAGTTTGGACCCCAAGTTATGAGTAGGCAAAGTTTTAGGCCAGAGGCACATTTGAAATTTCAAAGGCAGGAGAAAGACAGTGCAAGCAGCATTCAGTTTAGGACTTCAGTTGGGGCTGAAATTTCCATCATAAGTAACTGTGGTTGTAAAGCAAGATGTCATGTGACCTCAGTGACTGACGGTAGCAATCCCAGCACTCCCTGTTGTGGTTGTTAACTGAGAATCTCTTGTTGTTAAGGGAGTATCCACCCCAATCCAAGCCATTCCAGACTTGGTCCCTCCCAGTCCTGAGCCTAAGTAAGATGAGGGACTGCCTCCAGTTGTCCCAGCCACCTATCTCCCCTCATCTCTGTCCTTTGGGCCACCCTGGACCCTGCCTTTCAGGGCAGTAAGCAGCCCCAGAACCATGGAGAAGTCTCCCTTGCCCTAACCCTACCGCAGCAGACCTGCCTGAAGCGAAGCTGCCCTTGCGGCCTTCTTTCGAACTCAGCTTCTCCTGCAAATATAGTGGAAGGCAGTGGAAAGCTTTCCCAAGAGAGTGTAGCTTTAGCCCCTTGTGGGAAATGTTCATGGGAGAACCTGGGTCCAAAAAGGGGATGGTAAAGGCAGATACAAGAGTCCAAGAAGGAGACAGCAAAGGCAGCAAGGCACTTCTGCTTTGGCTGCAGCAACTGGATGCAAAGGTTTTGAGTGGGTAACTGGGAGAGAAGTCAGTTAGGGAATGAATGCTCACTGGTGCTGGCTAGGGCAGGTTGGGGTGGCTGCAGTCAGAAGGGCATAGATGGGGGAAAATAACTAGATGGAGGAAATTGAAGCCCTGTGGTCATAAGTGTGCATAGGCTGCCAAGTGCTTGAATGTTGATCACTTGACCCCAGGAGTGCTACAATGGCTATAATTTTAGGCACAGATCATAAATCAATTTTTTCAGTCCTGTCATAATTTCAAACTGTTGCTTAATGAATGCTTAAGGACTAACTGTAGCAAAATGGCTACAATTGGAAATATATTTGTTCACAAAATGGCTGCCATAATGAGCACGGCCAATCCCAAAACATCGATTTATCAGAAGGCAAATTATCTCAAAAGAATGCTCTTTACCCTCCAATTAGATTTCTGTGGAGCATAAAAGCTTTTGGGCAAATATATATGATGCTGGAAGCTGGTGCTTTCCTTCACATGAGTTCTTGCACACTCACCATATTGATGTCTGAGTAATGTATCAAAGTTTCTTGAAGTCCATTATATAATAGTATGATCACTGGATGCACCAAGTAGCAAGCATAACTAATTCTTGCAACCACAGTCCAAACCCTCCATGAAAGGATGGTGTTGATGAATCCTGCCAGGCAAAACCAATACAAATCTCTCAGCAATAAGCTTTCCTCAAAAAGTAAAATAATTACTTTGTGGCTAGCTGGGGAATTCTGGGAATTGATGTCCACACATTTTAAAGTTGTCAAGTTTGAGAAACACCGATGTAATGTTAAACAGGTCTGGGAAGAGAATTGTGCTCCCCTAATATTGATGGCTACCCTCAGTTCTAGGCTGGATATCTTAAATAATTGTTGCAGGTAGCAATAGTGTGTGTGTGGAGGGGGGAGGGTTCTTGCCCCCCATTTCTGGTTTGTGAGCTTCCTAAATGTATCAATTTGGCCATTGAATGACAGGAAATATTGAATGAAACCTATCTGCGGCCTGATCCAGAATGGCTATTTTTGTATTACTTAAGCTCTTAAAGAATAAGATAAAACAAATAGATTCTTTCATTTGGGACCTTGAGAGATCCCAGTACAAGGTAATTTGAAAATAGCTGATGGCCGAGTCCACATGTTTTTCCTCTTACCCCTAGGGCTTTGTAATATTTACAATGCAAGGCTGTTGAAGGGGAATTTTTTTGAGGGCATGAAAGTCCTTCTAAGAACCTTTTTAACTGAAGAGATGACTGAAAAGGAAAGAGAAAGAAAAGAAACTCTTGGAAAGTATTTCTGAAGAATATATAGGATGAGGATCCCATTATTTTAATTGCTCCTTATTTTTCCAGTTCTGAAAACGAGATTCTAAGGTTCAACTTCAAGAAACCCAAGCTAGGCTCAAATGCTCATAGAGGTGGAAGAACATAAGTGCACTTGCTCTCATTCTCTCAGCAGCAAGCAAGACAAATCTTGCCTATGCTCATGTTTCAGTGGGGCAGGGGAGAAAAAGAGCATAAATTATTCTTAAACAACAGCTAGGGCAGGGATAGGCCACCTTGGCTTTTTTATGACTCGTGGACTTCAACTCCCAGAATTCCTGAGCCAGCCATGCTGAGGGGAAAGGGAGAGGTTTCCAAGCTGAGCCATGCTGGCTCAGGAATTCTGGGAGTTGAAGTCCACAAGTCATAAAAGAGCCAAGGTTGCCTACCCCTGAGCTAGAGAAAAAGTAAAGGTTTACCCTGCCCAGCCATGCCTGACTCTAAGGGGCAGTGCTGGTCTCTGTTTCCTAACCAAGGGAGCCAGCATTGTCCGAAGACACTTTTGTGGTCATGTTGCCAACATGACTATACGCCAAGGTAATGGAACACTGTTACCTTCCGACTGAAGTTGTACTTATTTATCTACTTTCATTTGCATGCTTTCGAACTGCTAGGTGGGCAGGGGCAAGAACGAGAGATCATCCCTTCATGTGTACTTGGGTCTCGAACTGCCAACCTTCCGGTTGACAGCCCAGCATCTTAACCACTATTTAAAAAAGGCCCCTTTCTCCTTGGATAGCATACCTCCATAGCCTTCCTCACATGCGAAAATGATCCATCCTACAGCAATTGCCCAAAATGTCCGATGAACAGCTTGATAAATGGCAACTACAGGCGAATAGAAACTGATGGAGTCTTCTAAAATGTAAGCCAAAGCAATCACCATCAACATGAAGATCGTGGCACAAAGCCACCCAACAGAAGCCTGAACCTGCAGGAAGATGAAGAGGATTTGTAAATTTGTACTCACTTTGGTTCATCCTTAACATTTTGCAGTGCCTTTGTTTCAAATGAAGGTTGAGCCAATCTCTTCTTATAACTAGTCTCCTATTCCTCCTCTTTGGACACTTTCTTCTGCCCTCCATTTTGTAAACCTCTTTGCATCTCACCCTCTATAGATTGCTTAACTTTTACTGATGTCATTCCCTATAAAAGTTCCAAAAATTGCCACTGAATTTAAAATTTTAATGTGAGAAGAAGGAGACATTCTTAGATATGTGGGGAATAATCATACAAGTACAATATTAATTTATTTTTTTAATTTAAATTGGATATAATAAATATTTCTATCCATGTGGTCAAGATAAGAAGAGGGTTGACACTTTTGAACTTTGGCATTGGAGAAGATTCCCGAGACCACCATGGACAGCCAAGAAAACAAAGAAATATATCATAGAACAAACCCAGAATTCTTACAGAAGAGCCATAAAGGTCTTAGAAAAATTATATGTTGTGATGTTTCTGTATCAACAAAGCATAGAATAGTACAAGCCATGGTATTTGGGGGAAAAAACAGATCATTGAACAAATCAACTTAGTGTTCTCACTCAAGGCACAAATGACTAGGCTCAAATTATGCTAATTTGGACACATTATGTGATAACTAGTTCTCTGGAGAAAGCTCTAATGCTGGAAAAGGTGGAAGGAAAGAGAATAGTGTAATAAAAACTACAGAACCCCGATTCAAATGCTGCTTAGATCTTAGTTTTTATTATCCTCTTTTCTCCTGACAACTCCACTCCCCATATTGATCTACTTTTCTTTTCAAATTCCTCCTAATTCATAACATGTCTTCAACACATCCTTATGAGATCAAGAATACTTTGCCCAAGGTAAAGATTCACATATCATTTTAAATGATTCCAATATCAAGAATCAAAGGTACTCTCTTACTAGTCAAAATAGAGTCCTCCAGGCATCTTTAATTAGTAGTTCATGCCAGCAAACTTCTATACATCTGACTCATCCTTCCTTTGTTTTGCACAGGAGTGAGATAGACCCAAGAGAATTGCACAGCTTGTAGAAATATAAGGAGCATTCCAGGGAAAGTAAATAATTGGAAATGATTCCATGAAAACGATCAATGCTTAGAGGGCAAGGAATACTGTTTGATGATTGCATGGTGGAATAATGGAAAGATGAGAAAAGATAATGTAAAGGAATAGCCTAGGAAAGTGTTCCATATATTTAATGCAGCTCACACTTGTTGTTCTTAGTTTTCCCATATGAAAGGAGGCTACCATATGAAAGTTGGAGATTTTTTTTCTTTGCCGCAGACTGCATGGTGAACCAGAAGGAAGCCATGATCTACAATATTTGTTCATGGCGCTGGCAACACTATGGAGATGTGGGAACAGGAAGAAGGAAGACCATCTCATTTCCACATTCTGGATAGAGAACCATTGGTTTGAAAGAGGGGTAAAAGAGCCATTTATGTTAACATTGAGTAGCCCTCTCTCAACAAAGGGAGAGGAATAAGACACTTCCTATCTTCTGTCTACAATGCAGTCCTTTCAGCAATTCCAAGAAGATTTCACCCCCATTTGCACTATTCAGGTGACCCTGAGGGCACAGATAAATCCCCAAGTGGCCTCAAGAGCTCTCAGGGAGAGAATGACTAAGTGACTGCAAAGAAATATGATCCTTCCAACCCTCCCTCCCCATCCTGTCAAAACTAATCCTTCCATCACCCCTGCCAGAACCGATGAAGCTTCTTAGATGACAAGTGAAACTACTTCTTCTTCTTCTTCTTCTTCTTCTTCTTCTTCTTCTTCTTCTTCTTCTTCTTCTTCTTCTTCTTCTTCTTCTTCTTCTTCTTCTTCTTCTTCT